GAAAAGATTGAAGCAACAGGTCAAAAGTGTGCTTCACCTAACTCGTTCCGCAGAAGTAAACATAATTCGACACCATTCCGATTTCCACAATAGAAGGTCAGTTGTTCTCCTACCTAGCCTGGGTAATCAGTCCGTAAGACTCAGAAAAATCAGAGCAAACTTTGTAAATACGAATGTGGAACGGGAACAGGAAGGGTAAAGCTGACTAGCTCACGCGGGACAACTGCCTAGGGCAGGCCCTGGGAAGACCACACCTTTAGAGGAGGTTGAGGAATAGCAAAAAAGTTAATAACTACCTCTGCCAATAAGACCCTCCGTAGTGCATTTGCTATGGGAGCTTCAACATTGATCAGATCGAAGTCAAGTGACATACCATCTTCCAAATCGTTTACAATTTGTACCTAGAAACTGGTTTTATTCATACTCAACCATTTGTAAAACGAACAACGGGCAACATACCTCAATTCGCTTGCAATAATTATTTACATCAAAAGGTCCTGCTTGCACCTGCGCGTAGTCCAAGTCATCGTCATAGGTCTGAAATTAGAAACATTACCCGATAGAAAACACTGCACAAGGCAAACCCACATTCAGTACACGTTCCTCCTCCATCTTGATTTCATTAACGTGGAAACTTTGGGTATCCATTGGCTCTGACTTTGTCCTTGATGCGCGTTTCCCTCCCATCTAAAAAATAACTACGCGGTCAAATGTGCAAGGGCAAATTCCCATGATGGACAGATATAGGAACTGGCGTTTAGCAGCATAAGGCAAGACCAGAGAATAATGACTAGTTTTTATCGGTAACAACATACTCAAAAAAATCAATATCCCGGAAAAAACAACTCAGCTGATAAAGCCATAAGTGACAGTGAAAAACACACATATTCACGCCAAAATCAAGAATAACTTCCGTAACAAGCCTAGTTAAAAAATGATACCTTCGGAGAAACAAATTATCCTCAGTTAGTAGGAGGATGCATTAAAATATTCGGCACAGAATATGCATCAAGTGAAAAGGGACAGGAATTGTATAGTACCAGCAAAATCAATATCACAGTCAATAACAAAGAATAGTCTAAATTGATTATTCTTGGACAGTATCCGTCCAAATTCCAAAACGATACCGGAACCAAATGAGAATCAAATCCCTTCCCATCTGTAACCACGATAAAACCGGAACTATCTTCGAGCCTTCCACCTCGTGCCATGTCACAGAAATCTGAAGCCAACAACAGGATAAGATATGATGAAGCTTTCTGCCCTGATCAACCCTTTCTGGGCTGCGGAATGTATCCCACTTCCATTCAGGCTTGTGGTAGCGTTTCAAATGCGATTTAACTATGCATGAGATACAGTCTAGCTTGCTATGAAGCGTGTAGAGAGGCTGAGTTTGGCGCCACCAGTTCGCTCTCCGCCAGCTGTTGAAGCTGGTAGGAGACAACAACTGGTGAAAAACTGACACTAGCGATATCATGGTCTTGTCAGCTCGGTCGACCCAGTCATGCGCGCTTCGATAGTATCTGCATATCAAGCCATGTATGCCAACTTGTTCCTTAAATTTCCCGTAACGATCTCCATTTACCACTTTATCAGCGTCTTTAGGTATTGGAAGGTTGGGTTTTCCCAACGGGAGCCGCGCTGGGACTTGACCTGCAGACTATGCATGCAGAGTGGTTAGCAGCGCTAATAGGATGTAGAGCGTTACTCCCCAGTTGCGACATCGCAGTCTTGAGAAAGGTTACGGGGCACTTGTCAACCAGACGTGCTCTCGCTGCGAGGGTCCAGTGGTATTTTTCGAAGCATCTACCAGTCTAACTATTTCAAGGAATAAGGTGAAGGGGAGGGAACAGAGAAGGGAGGAGGAAAAAGAAGGAGGAGGAAGAAAAAAGGAAAGAGAAGAGAGGCTTCCCTGGTTGACAAGTGCCCTGAGACGGAGAAATAGTCGACGAGAAGCGCTGCTGCCATTTTGATGGTCACCATCCGCGCTCTGCACACAGGGCACGCCATCTTTGTGATCATCACAACAGGGGGGTCGTATTTGCCCGCGATGGAGGGGGGGTCGTAAACGCATGGCCCATGTTGAAGTGGAGAGAGCGGTGATACACGGTACAAGTAAAAAGAAGCTCAAAAGGGACGATGTAGATGACAATAAATAGAACTAGGCACTATCGAACTATTCCTAGGCCAAAAACTAAAAAAAATATTGCTGAAAGCAAATCATATTGCTGAAA